GAAACACAAATGCTTGGATGAGGCTGCTTCTGGGCTGAAGGTTAACATCACCGCAGGAATGCTCAACGACTACAGCCGGACGAATGCCGTGGCATCCGAACGTCAGGCCAAGCATGACAACAGTATGGTTGCCGTCAACGGGCAGGAAGGAAGAGATGCAAACGAGTCACAAGGGACCGAATCTCACGACCGCTTCGCTATAGAGACAACTACTGGCGAAGGCTAACTCATGCTTTCTAGTACACAGTACTGGGCATCAAGGAGAAGATTGGGGATAGCTTTAAGGGAATGTCCAGTTGAGGAACTACTCTCAACTAGTCGGTGCTCTACCTACCTGCAAGTGACAAACGCACCAAGGAGCTACTTTCAGAAATACTAGCTGCAAGTACGGATTGTTGCCGCTGTCTCTTCCGAATGCACAGTACATTGCATAGCTCCACTACAAGGACTTGTTGGCTTTACAGTGTAAACAGATTCACAGGTTGCTTTTGTAGAAAGTGCGAGCACTAGGCAACAAGACTACGTGTAGCATGACACCTAAAGCTCAGACCAGGTACTATCTCTACTGCCGAATAAGCAACAACCTAACAGAACATCATCTAGGTGTGCATGCTCCGTGAAGAAACATCTTTAAGCAGTACAAGTGCTTCGTAAAACTCCACTGCAGAAATGGCACTCAAAGCCCTCTGTGAAGGACGACTGCTTCTCGCGGCTGCTACAACCGCAACATGTCGGCTCTAGAGTTTTAGACAAGGGAAGACACTGCTTCTGGCGGGCTCAGGGTTGCAAGAGCAGAAAGCGCTGCAGCACAAAGCCTTGTTTTGCAGGCCCTGACTCACACAACCTGACTGGCTTCAAACGTCCAGGGGCAGCTTTCGCCACTGGTTTCTGTGTACCCCCTCCAGGCTAAAGTGAGCACCCAGACCAAAGCATCCCAATCCTTGATAGGCCCGTCTTTCTTAAAGCTTTTGCTTTTGATGCCACCGAGATATGGAGCTTCGACGCGCCAACGAGTGTGCCAGTTCATCTCTTTCGTAAGGGTGCACTGAGGCGGCGCCCACTTGCGAGCACTTTCAACATCATAGCGGCCTGAATGCACCGCAGCATTTTGCCGCGGCCGTTGTGGCTGCCCCGGCGGCATGGCCGAAGCACTGCTGGAGCCACGACTGGAATCAGGGCTGAGCTGGGATCGCAGTTCTGCTCGCTTCCGAAGCGATGCTTCTTGCTGCTTCAGCGCCTGTTGCTTGAGCTTCCGCAGCTCCTCTTGCAAATCACTATCTTCGTCTTCCAGAGCTATGTCGAAGAGATCTTCGTTCTGCATAACCGGCGAAGCCTTCACAAACTCTTGAGGAGTCTGCTGTTTGCCCCTGCCGAGCAATGCACTCTCCAGCTCGTCAGACGTGATGCCTGGCTGCACGTGCTGTAGCAAAGCCGTGACAAGCTGCACTTCTGTTCGTGGTTTGTGCCCTTTCTCAAAAGGCACGCCGAGGCTCGTGTGCAGTTTTCGGAGCTCTTCAACACGCAAATTCGGAAATCCACGACTTGCGTTGTGCAGCAACAACTTCACCGACTTCTGCTGCGCTGGGCCAACCGCCAGTTTGCCAAGGTCGATTGTGTCGCTGTTGACTGTTGAAGAACATGGTGTGAGGACCTTCAAGGGAACCGCGCTCCAAGACATCTCATCTTCCACGAAAACAAACTTCAATGATTGCTGGCCTGTGTCTCCAAAATGAAGAACGTGACGCCTTCCTTCTTTTTTCATGGAAACATCCCAAACCAAGGCCCCAAAGCAGCTACACAGTAAGACTAGTGATGTTCTCGGGTCTGCAACCTTCTTGACGAGAGTCCCAGGTATTAACAGCAACGATTTCCATGCCTTGGAAATCCGTGACCAATCACCACCCGTCTCTTTCAGCAACAACGAAGCCAAGCTGCTAAGCTTCAGGTTCGCAGGGTTGGGTGTCGGCCAAGTGGCCGGGGAAGCAGTGAGTTTGCGAAGATCTTCGGAACTGAGGCTGCATTCAGAATCTTTGTCTTGGAAAACAGGCAAAGGCAACTTTCCGGAAGCAGCTACTCGCGCAGCAGTGCTCACTGCGACAGCCTTGCGATCATGATCTTCACACGTCGTGCTCCCTAAAACGCACTCGTGCCAGATGCTTTTCGGTCCCAAGGAACCAGAGGGAGTTTCCCCTTTGCTGACTTTCCTGCATCTGTTGCCCAAGTTCTCAATGAGCAATGTAGACCAATGCCCTTTGCTGTACGCCTCCACCTCGCACTGGATGTCATCGTTTGCTGCAAGGAAATCCTTCTCCAGCAGTTGTACAAAAACTTCCCGCGACCACTGCTGTGACGGCCACAACAGGTTCTCGATGAAACGCTTGGCAGCCATGTCATCTAGAGCACGTGCTTCTAGCTGTTGCAAAGCTTCCCAAAACTGCTTCAAGACTGTCATGGTGGACTGCATCTGCTCGGCATCCAGGGCTGCCAAGCCCAAGAACTTTTGCGGAGGGACTTGGAAAAAACAATCTGTGCACGCGCAGGAACCAACGGTTGAGTAAGCTAACTTCCACATGCACCTGGCCACCGTCTGGTCCGCCTCAAGCTCGCAGGCGTTCTTTGCTTCTGCCGAGAAACCAAGGTTGTCGGCGTACTCTGGACTGAGCAGCTGCTCAAAAACTTGTCGCAAGATCTCTGTGTCACCACCCTCTGCAAGACTGAGCATCAGGGCCTGAGTGTCCCGCCTTGTCTTCAGAGCAGACATCCATTTGTGAAACTCCACTTCCAGCGGCTGCGGTAAGTCGACCATGCCTTTCCACAGTCGTATGTTGAGAGGCTTGGACAATCTTGTCGCGCTGAAATGCAGTGTGTTCACGCACTTGGCACGCTTCTGCTGCAGAACCTTTTTAGCTTCCGAGGTGGAAACTCTGCTTGACGAGGGGCCAGCATCTACAGCTGCAGCGTCCGCTTCCTCTGGCGGGCGCTCCAAAGCTTCCAAACCATCTCCTCGGACTTCTGCTTCCTCCTGGGTTTCACGGCACTGCTCCAGATCCGCAGCATTGAGTGGGCAGTCTGAGTACCCCTTCCACCAGTTTCGTCGTGTTCCCACATACAGCAGGTTCAGCAGATTGGCATGAAGTTGCGGGAAAAAGGCTCGACTGTTCTGCTCGAAGTTGAACCATCTTGAAGTCTTGGTGTTTGTGCCTTTGCAGTCTTTCGTGAGGAGCTGCTTAGCGGCCCTCCAGACCAGCTCTGTGTGCTCCTCCGTGCCCTGAGTCTGGCTCTGCATCTGGAAATCAGCAGCAATGGCATCGCTGAGCACTGCGAATAACAGATTGTTGTCCGCAGTTGTTTCCCGGAACATTTCCGCTGCAGCGTCTTTCAAAACACTGTGATGGCCGGATTGCTGGAACGGTCCTTGCCGCATCTTCAACACCACGTTGTACTCGGTTTTGAGCATACGGAGCCCGGCCTCTGCTCTGCCATCTTCTATGTCGCAAACGCGTCGGTGAAGCAGATCAAAGACCAGTGTTCCTCTCAAGCCTAAGCACTGCACCAGAAAATTGGCTGCTGGCCAACCAATGGGTGCTAAGTCGCAAACCATATGAAGCACTGGTCTCTGCAGCTTGTTCTGGACGACTTCCCTTGGACATTCAAAGTATCTGCGGCCGCTGGCATCTTCGATGCAGCTTCTCTTGCAAGGTGGCCCCACTGCAGGCTGCACTTCTGCCAGGTAGCGTTTCGCGCCGACACTCAAGCTTTGCAGTCGGCGTCCTGGCATCCACTGCGACAGCCCAACGCCTAAACCTTTGCGAAAAGCATTGTCCAACGAGCGGAGCCAATGAAGATTGGGCATCCGCTCAAAAACTGCAGCCTCTGCCGTATCTTCGACGCCGTCAGCGCCCTCACGTCCGGCAGCCGCTTCCTCGGAAAAAAGCTTGGACATCTTGGCCAAGATGTCGTTCTGAAAAGCAGCCCTTTGTCCGGAGGCTTCTGCAGCGTCTGTGGAGCCCGGATACGCAGCAGCGAAAGCTTTGCATTCCTGGCACAGGCAACCCAAAAACACATTTGAAGGCTGGCAATGACTTTCGGGGCATTTTGCGGGAAAACGCGGGGATTTATAAATTCCTGCAAAACGCCGAACCGTTTTGCGGTAAAATGCGGGGAAATGCGGGGAAATGTAAACGACTGTTTGTGCTCTTCGGCACATTTTGCGGTAAAATGCGGGGATTTGTAAATGCATCGCGAACTTTGCGATGCGTTGCCGATGAAAAACAAACCTCTGACATGTGTCTGACTGGTACAGACAAGCAGATAGACTGCGACACTGCCTTCCCTCAGTGATGGCGATCTGTCCCGTAAGCTGCCAAAATAGAACCACCTACTGTCCAACATGCGTGGTCTTTGTGTTTCAAATCCTCGGACATTCGTGCAGCTACAAGAAACGGAGAATCTCGATCTGGCTTTTCCAAATGCTGCAAAGTCAGTATGAGTCTTTTAGGCTGCGGACTTCTTTGCTACTGCCCAAAACGACCTTCCAAACAAAGCATGCCTGCCAAGGTTTCACACGCCAAACAATGCAAGGCAAGGGTCCTGAGGCGGAAGAACTGCGTGCACGTTCCCAGGACCACTTACAGCCGCCAGGAGGTATTCTTTGGCAGGATTCCCCAAGCGCATGCCGTCCCAGCATAGGCTCAGCGACTGCGGGTTGGCGAAGCTCAAATGCATGGCGGCTCTGACGCAGGACATTTCTTTCTCTCGCCACTGTCGTTGGCCAGCACCTACACCAGGTTCCAATGCATTGGCTGCAGCACTGCTGGACTGCTGCTGCCCCTGCTGCACAGCTTCTTGCACAACCCAAGCTTTCACATGAGGATCAATCCGCCGACGTCTTGTAGGACCAGGGACTGCTGCATGCACGCCTTTCTGCCATGCATGCTCGCCCCATTCCGTAGCCCTTTCGTCGACAGCCAGACTGAGCACCTTCAACACGTCGGACATGTGAGTAGCCAGAGCTGCGCATTTCCGAGCAACAAAGAGTTCCTGCAACTTGCGCAAGATGTTTTCGTGCCACGCAACTTCATCCACGGCACTCTGCGCCAGAAACCGTCGCACACATGCGCAACGTTCACCCTCAAGTGGCTCTGCGGAACACATCTGCGCAATCTCTGCTGGAATCTCCAACATGCCCAGGCTTGTCTGTGCACGCAAACATTTCTCCAGAACCAAACGCATGACAAGAGAACTGCGTTCCTGGTCTTCTTTGCTTCTGCGATTCTCGGACCATTGAAGAAGAACGACGAACATGCCAGCCGTGCTTACCCAATACTCTTGCTCAAGCGATGCCACATCCACATCGTCCAAGCGCTGTCTCTTGTGCAAGGCGGCATTTGCACTGTCGCCATAATGATCTTTCCAATCTAGCAGAAAATGCTCAAACAGCTGCTGCCAGTCAGATTTTTGGGCGTTTAGACGTTGGTGCAAAGGTCTCTTGGCAAGATCAAAACCGCAGGCCGGAAGCAACCTGCGCAGTTCCCATCTCAACGGCGCTCCTTGACATGGAGCCCATGCTTTCAGGCAGAGCTCTAGTCTGCTGCCATCCTGCAGCAGACCACCAGTCTGCAACAGAAGACCCTTCTCTGCCATGAAAACTCCACGACATGCATCGCTAGCATCGCTTACTACGATGGCCTCGTGCTAACGCATGCCTTGCAGTGCAAGTGTGGCAGAAAAGCCTGTTCACACTGGCAAAACTGGCTTACTCGAAAAGAATGGCTTATGATGAAACCGATGCTCTTGCAAACGATTCCTGGCAACCCTGTCTCAGGACTATACTAAAACCAAGAAAAATACCCGGTTCAACCTATATCAACCCTTGCATTGCTTCAGGCGAAACAAAAAAAGCTCATGACACACACTTGCCTATCCTTTGGGCCCAACCCTAAAAAGCAAGGCGCATTCCAGCGAGTCAGCATGCCTGCGACAATATGACACACACACACACACTACTCTCCCAAACACGTGCCGCGGACTGCCCGTGCCAAAGGTGTTTTACTACAACAAGATACGTATGATACAAGGCTTACTTGTTCTTTCCTGCCTCTCCAGTCTCGACGGGTGTCTAGGAGCTTGCAACTCGGACCTACCTGAATGGCTATTACGTAGATCGACCAACTTGTATACATTTGGCACTAAACACGAGATACTCTAACCTCAACCTCAATACATAATCGATGTGATGCGATAAACGATAAACGATACACACTTAGGAGCTTACCTAGGGTTTTTCGCTAGAGACATGGGGATGGGCCTTCAACTTAATAGGGGCGCTACGAAAGTTTGAGCCGGGACCTACTGTTCAGGAAGTCAGCCCTTGCGAAGCTGGATGCGTGGTCTGAAGCACAGCTGAGACGTCACAACTTTCAGCATGCTCTGGAAGCTTGCAGAAAGGAAGGGCGATACATGCGGAATTTACGCCTTTTCGCGCACTGTTCAGCACGCTCCCCGCTCCGACAGAAAGCTGCCAAAACACAAGTTTCTGCAGCTGCTTTGTGAACCCCATCAGAGCACTCGCCCCGAACACGAATCGACACCGGCACCACATCTGCAAGCGCAGTGCTGCTGGGTTTAGCAGCATTTGCCTGCACATGGCACCTCAAGTGCATTCGTTTGGACCAACAGTCAAAATCAAAAGCCGACACTAATCTACAGCGGCGCCAGTCCTAGGGGGCCGGAGGCATCATGTCAGCTTCGTTGTAGGACTCCACCTCGCTCTCACGCTTCTCGGCCGCCTCCTCAAACAAGTCCCGCATGTCTGTTGCGGATGTCGTGGAAGCGCCGTCTGAACCAGCACCTGGCGATGTAGTTGCCGGCGAGCTGCGCGAAGGGTCGATCTTCGCCTTCTTGGGTGTCACGAAGTTCTCTGCAATCTCATCTGCTTTGGGAGCGACGTTGCCATCCTCCAAAGCCAAGGGCCGCTTCGATGGAGGCGAAGCGGCTGCAGGCGAGCCATTCTGCAGAGCCAACGAGGTCTCTTGGTTTGGGAAGTAAGCATGCAGCATGACCTTGACGCCGCTGCCATCTGCATCCTCAGACAAGGCAACGAACGCGCCCTGCTCCGACCAGTTCCTGTGAATGCGAAAGTCCTTGACGCCGTTGTTCGCGGGCAAGTCTTCGGTGTTCACCACAGCGCTCTTCTGCAAGAACCGGTGCTTGACCTCGAGTCCGGAGTCCGTCAGCTTCACAAGCAAGTAGAGGCCGTCCCGCTCCCACACTGGTGGCAGACACAACTCGCGACCACGACGGCCCCGACGAAGATACATGCCCATCATGTACTCTTTCAAGCCCTTCAACTTGGCAAGCTTCCCCGTGAAGGCAAGGTCGAAGGGACAGCCGGTAAGGATTTCCACGATGCGCACCATGAGCTCCTTGTTCTCACACGCTTTGCCTCGAACCAGCATGCGACGAAGATTCGGGCCTGAAAGGGATTGAGGCTCCAGACTTTCGATCACGCCCATGAGAAACGAGACGGAGGAGGCGTCCAAGCGATGGTACGGCGAATCCGCTTCATCGCCTCCAGTTGTTGTCGTCGTGTTCTTTTTGGCTTGGCTGCTTTTGGCTTTCTTGTCCTTCACAGCTTGGTTTTGCAACGAAGCCGGTAGCTCGTCGGCCTCTTTGTCCTTCAGATCTTTCAATCGCATGCCGAGAGCATCCAACTTGCTCAGCAGATGCTGCACCACCTGAGGCCGCAAGTCCATCACCTGCTTGATTTCCCCCTTCTGTGCCTTGAGGAGCTGCTCTGTGCTGCGCCTTTCCAAGTTCACTGCCGCATCTTGGGCACTGAGCTGGCGCTGCGACGGCATCGTCGAAAACTAGCAAGACTTGTGTTGCCTAGAAAGGCGCGCTGCCTTTGTGAAAACCCTGTTCTTCGGAGCCAACAAAGATGACAAATGTTTTGCGCGTCTCACTGCAACACTGCAACTCTGCAAGGACGACTGGCTGCAAATTCTTTGTTGTCTGAGAAAAACAAACTCGCAAACATGTGTAGCAGAACATGTGCAGTGAAAAAAGAATGGGCGCAGCTCACATTACT